CCTGCAGGACAAGCTCTCTGTGCACCGTCCACAGGGCGGCTGCCCGACAGCAGCGCACAAAATAGAGGGCCACCCTCCGACCCAGAGGGGTCATTTCTGTGTTGGCACGATCACCACGCACAACCCCCCCTCCCCATCCTCACTTGGACGAGGAAAGAGACGGGAGGTGGTGGGATTAGAATCCAGATCTCTGAGTACATGTGGGATAAGGAGCGCATGGCAGCCCGTCTTGGGCCTGCCAGCTCGGTCTTTGAGCTCCGAAGGGGATTATGTAGGCCCCGGCCGTGCTGGGAGAGGATGAAGTTGGTGTTACCTGGCGGCCATGTGGAGCAAGTGAGAAAAAGTCTCTCAGAGGAGCTGAGGCCTCCTTGCCCCGATGTCTTCCACAGAATCATGTGTGGGCACCTGGATGGGACTCAGCCTCCGTCATGGGGTGCCCCACCTCCCGAGTGTCTGTCTCCACGCTGGCCAAGCTTCGTGGCATGTTCTACCTCCACTCCCACCCGACAGTGCCTTTCATCTTCGTCCCCAGACGTGGAGGGGAATTCTTGGATTTTGACTCACGGCTGTGGGGTCTTCCACCCTTTCCTTGCCTATAGGACATTCTTTGCTCCTCCCTGCCGTGCCCTTGGTCCAGTGTCCGAGGAGCCCAGGCTGCAGTTTGTGCTGTGGTCGCTGGCTCAGCCCTCACGCTCGTCCGCACTGCCAGCCCCTGGAAGACACTACCCAGTGCTGTGCTTTCAACCTCCCCCCGATGTTCTGAGACCATCATCTGCACATACAGTTTGTATTTGTGTGCTTTTCTCAAGGCTCTGAGCTGTTGGAAGGCATTACTCACAACTCAGTTTGGTGAAAATCTATCAGGATCCTGAAGGTTGAGTTAAATATACCTAGTATTTGTAAGTGCCTCTCACTCCCCTGTTTGTAAGGGGGTGGCAAGCACTTGCAACCTAAAAGTCAAGTAGTCAGCAAGGTGTGGGTGAGACGGCTGACCCGTGCAGGCAGGCAACCTCACAGGAAGGCGGTGCTGGTGGCAGAGGCACAGCTAACCTTGAAGATGCTTGACGTCCCATCCCACAGCCCGGGAAGCGAGTGGATTTTGTTGAAGACAGGAGGCGCTTGTCTAAACAGCGCGGGGGCTGGGAAGCGAAAGGCTCCCCTACTGCTGGGAGGTGCGAGCAGCTGAGGTGTCTGCAGTCTGGAGACATGGCTCTCAGCACCACACCCTCCACCCTACCCCAGCCAGCCCGGCCGAGCAGAGAGCCATCCCTAAGTTCAGTTCTGAGCTCCTCTCCTCCAGTCCCGCTGACAGATGGTCGGACCCAGGCGAAGCCTAGCCTTCAGAGGCCTGGTCTTTGACATCTGTCCGTGGCATTACACTCCCAGGGACATGAGCCTCAACAGGTGTCTACTGGTGGTTTTCCCTCTAGCACCCAAGGGAACTAAAGGGGTTACTGTTAGTCAGTAGCTGACGTTTCTTCAGGAGGAGAGGAACTTTCTTCTCTCATATACACTCTCATTCAAGAGGAAGAAGCCGAGTCCATCTGTCTGGAGACATGAGAAAATTGTTGGGCTAATCGTGTTTGGGGGAAGAACCAACTTGCTGGAGGCAAACAACTGCCTTCATGGGAGAGCCTCAGCCTCAGCCTGGGGACGGTCACCCGGGCCTGCCTTTGAGCACAATGGAAGGGGCCCTCTGTGGGCTCAGCTGGCGGGGAGACACACCAGGAATTGCTTGAACATGCTAACAGAGGGTTTTCTCATTCTGCAGTTACCACCATGCCTGGCATGCTAAGTGTCTTTTCAGGAGACCCTTCAGGGACTAGACGGTCCATCCAGTAGCACCGCCTCCTCTGGCTTTGCAGTGACAGTGGCACTGTACCATCAATGTAGGGCAGTAACAACGCAATCATGGGCTAAACTGGCATCTTTGTCTTAAACAGCTCATGGCACTTCCTTCGGAAGGAAGGGATACGCATAACTGTTTTCATTTTATTGATACAGAAATGAAGGGGAGAAGAGGGTGCAGCACCGCGACCCGAGATGCAGGTGTATCACACTGAACACTGCGGCCGCGGTGGCTGGGAGGAGGGGCGGCCCCCGTGCTCCCAGAGTGCGCAGGCAGCAGGGGACACCCACACACGGCTCTGAACTATTCCTCGTAAGGGCCTGTGGGTATTACTCCCACTTTAAAAATGAGAACAGTGTGTCGAAATGTTCACTTTTCCGGGAACTAAAAGCAAGTCTGTCTGACAAAGGCTGTGTCCTGTCCCCCACACTGGGCGGAACTGACTTCTGTAACTTCACAAGGTTGAAAGTCACTGCACTGGGCAAAACTGCCTTTAGCAACAAAATCTCAGGTTCCACCAGAATTTCAGTTACTTAAAACTGCTACCCGGCAGCCACTGACACCTAGGAGTGTATCGGTGATGGTCTCAAATTTTGGGGTGCCACTGGGAAAAGTTAATTTATATATGGAGTCTAATTTGGGGTGCCATAGGTAACCCTTTTAACCCATGTCTTGTACTCTCTATAGAAAGCTCCTGTACAAAGCCACCTGTACCTGCTTCACCATATAGGAGCAATAAGCACCCATGCCCAGTGCCCTGGGAGAGGGCGCCTTAGTTTTTGGTCCAAATGAATTGGGTCTGCCACTTTTGAAGGGTATCACTCCGGTGAAGGGTGGAGAATGTGTTATTTTCAAAACAGAGCCCTGTGGTGTTGACCCACAAAGGGCTGAGTGAAGCCTGCAGTGTGGTCGGCCGTGCTGGGCTGGGCTCATTCCTTTACCATGCCATGTGATCTCACATTGGCTTCTGCCATTGATTGATAGATATAGATATAGATATATACATACCTACCTATATGTATATATCTATATCTATATATACATACACACACACATATTTTTGTTGTTGTTGATCCTCACATGAGGATATTTTTCCATTGATTTTTTAGACAGAGTGGAAGGTGAGGGAGGGAGAGAGAAACATCAATGTGAGACACATCGGCCCTGGCTGGTTTGGCTCAGTGGTTAGAGCGTTGGCCTGTGGTCCAGAGAGACCCGGGTTCGGTTCCTGCTAAGGGCATGTACCTCGGTTGCAGTTTGTCCCCAGCCCTGGTTGGGTTGTGTGGGTGACAGCCACTCGATGTGTCCCTTTCACATCAATGTTTCTCCCTCTCTCTCTCCCTCCAGCTCTATCTGAACAAAAAAAAAAATGGAAAGAAAAAAAGAGACACATCGATTGGTTGCCTCCTGCACAACCCAGGTATTAGCCCTTGACTGGAATCAAACCCATGGCCCTTAGGTCTGTGGGCCGATACTGTAACCACTGAGCAAAACCAGCCAGGGCCATTGATATTTCCTTTTATTTATTTGATGCTGAGGTAAAAAAAATATTTTATGAAATTAGCCATTTGGTACCCCAAATATACTAGAAACATTTAAAATGGAATTAATTTCTCTTTAGCGAAAGAGGCGACTCTAAACATGTAACACAGACCACAGAGATGTTTCTTGGAGCGGCTGGCCAGCAGCCCAGTGCATCACCGGCGTGTTCCAGTTTCAGTGTGTGTTGCTGAGGTGAGGAGCCACTGACTGGGGTAACAGGTCCATGTGTGTCTCTCCTGGCCCCCGTCTCTTTATGAGAATATTAAGATCGTATCCAAGCAATTATCGATCCCAAGTATTCTGTCAGAATATCACATGGATTTTTCACTGTGCTAGAGGTTGTAGGAGAAATCAAAGAAACAAAAGAAACCGTCCCTTCCCGAACAGAGGAGGATGACTGCAGACTCTTCCACCTGGACAGTGGCTCCCGACAGGCTCAGTGAGTCGCGGCCTTTCCGCCCACCTCTCCTCAGAAGTACTCTGCTGTGGGAGTGGGGAGGGGTCTTCTAATAAACCCTGTGCTTGATAGCGTGTCTAAATAAAGGTCTAAAGATAAAAGCCCTAGCCTCAGCATCAGGAGCTGAGGAAACCTTCCCCGTGCCTCCTTTTATGACCTGTGAAATGAGAATAGAACCTGTCTCTGTGCAGTCATCCATATGATCCAGAATAAAAGGGCTACAGAGCTGCCAAGTTGCATGTATTATGAAGACTCAGCAGGGAATAATTCCAGGCCCACTCTGGCAAGGGCTCTTCTGACCCCTCCCAACACTGAGCTCCTCGGCTCTGAACATAAAGACCGGTCTGCTACATAGCTTGAAGAATCCTTATCACTATGCCCTGAGCCACCACCTATCCTCAGAGGCTAAGAAAAGGCTTTAAAATCCTGTGACCTTCCTCTCACCACGTTTTGCTAAAAATGATAAGACTGTTCACCTGGAAGCACAGGCAGGCATATTCTGCTGGCTGGGTCCAAAAGAAACAGCACGAGCTAGGATAAACGCAACGTTGCTGGAAATCTGGGCTATTTGTGGAATCAGAACAACTGTCCTCCAGAAACTAGTTATCCCTTTAGAAAGAATTTCCCTTCAAAGGCTCGGGGGAAACTGTGTCTGGTGCGAGCACCCCAGTGTACTTCCAGAGGCGGGGTGAGGGCCGTGAGGTTAGTCTGCGGGGCGACACTGCCACCTTGTGGTGGGCATGCGCTGTGGCACGGGGAGCGGGGCCATGGAACAGGAGACATTCTCTGTGTTCACAGAATAACCAGAGCTATTAAAAAAGAAACCAAGTTTCCAGAACGGCCCACCCTATGGAGAGGCTAATTCTTCTAGAAACGGCCCCAGAGTAAGAGAAAACTAATTCAGCTTTGCATTTACTGTGTGTATGAACAAAGCACTCTTCTACCCACTCAATTCTTCGTACCAGGTGCGCTGAAGGATGTATTTTTTTTAAAAAAAGCTTGACTGAAAAGAAAATCTGAAACATTTTACTTCATATTACACATACTTTTTTTTTTTTTACAAAAAGGCAGAAACATTTAGGGTATCAGCACTTAACAGGAAAGAACCTTGAGCTGGAGGACCTTGAAAATCGGTTGTAAAACGTTTTGCTTTCACATAGTCTTTTTCATGGCTGCTTGTGTCATGTTGAAGAGGTAAGCTTCATAGATTACATTTAAGAAGTTGTCGTCGTTCTGGAAAACAAAACCAAAAGACCCAAGGGATTGTGATTCGGTGGGGGCAGGAGCAGCGGCTTCCTGTCTGGGAGCTGAACCGGCACTGACCCCAGCGGCCCACCTCGGCCGGTCTGTCTGTCTGTAACAGCTGGTCGCTCCGACCTGCATATACGCATGTTAGTGGGGCTGAACGCCAGCACAGCCAGAGTCCGCTGGGCTTTTCGGTGGTCAGTCTATTACACACAGCGGCACGAACGACCCAGCTACGTGGTGTATGGAACGTGGCTCACTACGAAAAGCCTGGTCTGTTGGTGAACACGGGTCCCCAGCAGAAGGCTGCACAGGGGGGACTCCATCCAGGTCAATAGTTCTCAAAGGCTGGCTAGGAGATTGCTGGTGTATACTTTGCTTTTGGCATCAGTTAAGATTTTACTTGCAATATGCCTTATTGGTATCTCATCAAGGCCCGCACAAGTCTCCCATTAGTCAGAGAAGGCTTTGGGCCTTGGCAAGTGGACAGCAGTTAGACTGGGAATCTCAGGGCCTTTCTGCCTGGCTAAGGGCTGAGGGAGAATCACGGGTCTAATCAGTCGTTTTGTTTTTAATTCTGGAGATTTCTGCTTCCCACCCAAATTTTTTTTAAAGCTTTAGCAATTCACCCACATCCCATATTTCCCCTTCACTCCCTCTCGGCACCCACACACAGTTAGCATCTCTCTCATGCAGCGGAGGAGAGCCACTTATCCCTGTTTTCCTGCACAGTGACCATCAAATCCCCAGGTGTCCTGCCAGCAGCGAGCACCAAAAGAGAATGCTGAGTGACTCTAGCCGTCCACCAGGAAGTTACGTCTCACACATGGGAAAAGTAAAATGTACGTGTTTGTGTGCGGGGGGGGGGGGGGGGGTAACTTCTAACTGTCAATGTACAAGACTGCTCTGGACTTTCGGTCTTGGCTCTTGCACAGAGATCTTTGGAACGATGTAATTTAAATGGAATGAGCCAGAAGAAATACAAAACTTTAAAATTCAAATTTTTTTTTCCTTTTTGTTGTTCACAGATGAACTGTCTAAGTCCTCATGAACTTAATCAGACACGGCTTTAACAGGTGGGAACAGCATCCTGGTGGTGTGACCTGGTGAGGCACCGTCATTCGCTGGCCCTCTTTAGCAGATATTCTTCCACGTTCACACTTATAGCTGATTTCTAGCCCATTCCTTCCATTCTCCCTAAAATACATCACCTTTAAAAAATGTTTTTACTAATGGGGCCGTTTTCTTAAGACGAGACAGCTGCAGAAGTGCTAGCTGCTCTCTAAAAGCCAGCAGAAGCTCAAGCCAAACGCCACAAAAACTTTCTTGAAGACTGTCTATCAAAAAGATCCCTAGAGACACTCACGGAGGTGTCTGAGGCCTGGAGAAAGGGCTCCCCCGCCAGGGCCTGGCCCCGCTGCGGCCCACTGTGGGCAGCGGGCAGGAGCCTCTGCAGACAGGCTGGGCTGGGTCCCACTCTGCTACTTACTGGCTGGGAGACCTCAGGCAGTCACTAGCTCAGTTTCCCTGTCTCTGGAATGGAGGATGACATGCTGTTGCGTAAGGACCCCGGGAATGAATGTACGTGAAGCTGACAGCAGTGCCTGACAGCTCTGTGTAGGCGTCAGCTGCTACTTGTCATTACTTCCTAGACACAAGTAAGACACATGGCTGACAAAGAAGCTGTCATTCCAACCTGTCCTAAGTAGCAGGTTTCAAAATTATTTGTAAAATACGCCTTTGCAGTCACAGCCATTACTCACTCCCCTCCCCGCCAGCTCCTCATCCAACAGTCTGCGGGCACTCCCCACTGAGCGCCACCAGCTCAGATGCGTCACCCCCGCGCCCGGCGGTGAGTTCTCGGGCTGGGCGCCTAGTCCTGAACTATACAGTCTGCGTCCTTGTCTGACAGGTGACAGATTAGAGGACGCGGTCCTCCAAATTACAAGATCCTCAAGGTGTTGAGACACCTAAAGCTGCAGTTAGTATTCTGAATCTCATCCAGCTAAGCTCAGGGTCACTGTAGTTTAGATGAGTTGTCACTTCGTCCTCTGACTCCCGGGCAGCACTAAGTGGGCCCTGGCTAACCGAGTCCTTAGCTCAGGTGGCCAGCAGCAGGTGAGCAGGAGGTCACGTGCGGAGAGACGGCGGGCCCTCCTACCTGGATGAGGAACAGCAGTGCTTCCTGCAGTTGCAGCTTGGTGAGCGGGCTCTGCACAGGCAGGAGGAGGCTGCTGGAGGCGGCAGCTGGCTCCTGGCTTCCCAGGGGCAAGAGCCCGCTGTCCCTCTCCTTTGGCGGGCTACAGGGGGGTTGTGTGAACACCATGGGGGACATGAGCAGAGAAGGAGCCACTGTAGCCGGGATGCGCTGAGGGGAGACGACCTGCTCACAGCAAATACATAAAAGGGGGCAGGAGTAAGTAGCAACTCATTGAAACAACAGGTAGAGACAAAGGGGCTCACTTGCAAGAGTGGATATAGGTGAGTTTAAATCTGAATTGTTCACAACTTCACTAGATGGCAAGCTCGAGGAGAACCGCTTCCTGTTCGATCCCCACGCACTTCCCTTGTGGTTACTAAGCAGCTCCCGCACTGGCTGCCGGGGTGACCACTGTTCCCACGGCACACAGAGCTTGGCCTCCGCGCAACACTTTGTTCTTCTGCTTCTGTCATCACTTGGCAACATGCATGCAGGACCGCTGGCCTTTTCCTCGGGACTGGCTGTCTCAACTGCGACTTAAAGCTCCCACAGCCCACAGCCCACAGCCCACGCGAGCTGTTGGGGCACATGTTTCACCTCGATGTCTCTGGAGGAGCCGCTGTGAGAGCAGCCCTCCATCCTCCCACCAGGAGGGAGGCGCGGTTCGGGCCACCCTCCTGAGTCCTTCCTGGTGGGCCTGGTGCGCGCAGAGGACACATGCTTCCTGCTTCTCCAGGCTCGGGCGGCCGGGCAGGGCCCTGCCAGTGACTTGTCTGTCTGGGCGAGTCTGTCTACCTCACTTGGTAACAAACCTAATAACAAGATCTCCAATACTTCTGCAGTTATGCAGGTGACACTGATCCCCGTCTGACTGACCCCACAGCTCTCTCATCTGTGTCTAACTCAGGGAGAAGAGGGAGCTGTTACCAGCCTCCAAATGCCCATAAGAACTCGAGAAGGGGGTATAAAGGCCAGTGATGTAGAAGCTGCTGTAATTTTATAATCACTCCCTTGGTATCTTTTGGGCAGAAACCACCCTCGAGGAAGGTGGATACCTAACTGTCCCTCTCTGCTATGACGAGGAGAGGGCCGAGACGAGGAGAGGGCCGAGACGACGCTCGGAAGGACGACGGCCAACACAGTGGGGCCACTGCGCACTGTCGTCCTCGGAGCCACTCCTGCCCTGGAGAGACGTTTACGTCCAACTGTGAACCCCGCTTGTCCTAGTGTCCCATCTAAATCATCAAAAAGAAAACGTCTTAAAAAAAAAAAAAAAAGACAATATTACATTGAATTGAGGATGAGGATGAGTGACAAATACAGTTTCTATAGAGATAGGTACTCAGATTTGAGATTAAAAAAATAGCCCCAGCTGGGTGGCTCGGTTGGTTGAAGCATCATCTGGTACACCAAAAGGTTGTGGGTTCGATCCCCTGTCAGGGCACATACAGGAGGCAACCAATTAATGTTTCTCTCTCTCTCCCTTCCTTTCTCTAAAATCAATAAAAAAAACCCCACACATCCTCTGGTGAGGAGAAAATAAACTAAGCAAGAGCACTCTGACTTAGTGTCTCACAGAGACAAAGACATGCTACATGCTTATGATCTTAGTTTTCAAAAAGAGTGGAAGATTTTTTGGCTACTTGCCAAAACATGATGCTCCATGTAATAGGGAGAATTTATTTTTAAAACTACTGCATTTTCAGTAAATTTGTACCAATCCTAATGAGAAACAATGTCCAATCTGCAGATGTTACCCACAGGCAATGGAATAGCTTGTGGTTTTCTCACTGTTCTAAGTTACTGAGGAACATAGAGAATCATCTTCCTTGAAGGACAGACAGTTTATGAAAATTACAAACTTCCCCTGTCTGGAAGTGTGTGTGTGTGTGGGGGGGTGGCTGGCACACGTCCCTCTCTCCATCTTCAATGGGCTGTGCAGAGGACACACACTGACACAGGCCGCGCCTTCACGGAGCTAATGCACGTCCCTCTGCTGACTTCCCGCAGCCCCGCCCGTGGCGCAGAGGCAAGGTGTCTGCTCCTCACCGCTCTGCACCCACAGGCAGCACAGTGCCCGGCCGGCAGTAGTGCTCAGAAATAGTTACTAAGCAAAGGAACAAACAACGATTGATTGTACACTAAAATAACACGAAGAGGTCAGACGTGATACCCCAGAATGATTTCAATGCAGACCCTAAGTTTGCACAGTCAGAGATTACAGTGCAAAGACTGCATGTCTGTGGTCTTTCCTACGTTCAGGTCTTCAGACCTTATAACAGTGCAAAGATTTAATTACAAATAAAGTATCTCTGAAAGGACGGAAGCTCCCAGATTGCTAAGCAAAGCAGATTCTCTTTCCAGGTGGGAAGTTAAGGTGATAATAAGATGCACAGAGGAGGCTTTGGCACCCTGTTCGGAACAGAAATGTCCCTAGAGCACAGAAACTGATTCTAAACTTCACTGCATTACAGTGATAACCCCCAGCCCAGTGGTTATTACCTGGAAAAGAGGAGTCTGCTTCTCTGTGCTCGATGTCTTGTCGATCCAGGATTCCAAGGGCTTCCCAGCTCCAGAGCTCTGGGTGAGCACAGGAAACTTGGCTGCCAAGGCTGGGCGGTTAGACGCCTGCAGCTGCTGCTCCTGCTGCACGAGCTGAAGCTTTTGCAGTAACTCTTGGGGGGTGATCACTCCAGAACCACTGGGCTGATTGCCAGAGATGGGGGGCATTTGTCGTGGGTGTGTGCACTGTTCTCTTTCATGAGCGTGTTGTCCTAGTGCCTGAGGTGGAAGGGAGCCATTAAAATGTACCAGGTGCGGTGGAGCCACCCCCTTTCCTGGAGCTGCAGGGATGGCGGCAGCGAGGGCCGAGAAGCCGGGGAGGGCTGAGCTGGCAGGTGCTGCTGGACTAGGATCGTACTTGTTCGCTGCCTTTGAGGCGCTCTGAAGCTTCTCCAACAGGTTCTGAGTTCTGAAAGCACTGTGCACATGCTGAGAAGTCCGGATGCCCTGGGGAGGCCCTGAGTGGACAGGTCCAGTAACATCTTCCCCAGCAGAATGGGCACTGCCATTTTTGCAGGGTTGGTTTTCAGGCAGCTCTGACAATGGGTGGAGGTCTATACTCCTGACCAGGAGTTTCTGAATGGCTGGACATAGCTGCTTCTCAATGGGGGATGAGTGTCTTCTGGGTTCCTCATAGGTCAGGGAACGTACAACCCCCGGCCTAGTGGGAAGCTTCTCTTGCGGCTGGTAGTGCTGGTGGAGGGTGTGCGGAGGCCCCACAGCTTCCTGACATGTAGCTTTGTCCTGCTTCCCAAAGAGCGCTGTCAAGGACAAGTGTTGGGGTTCAGGGTCTAAGGTCTGAAAAATAAAAATGTCCCAGAATGATCTCCATACAATTTTGTTTTATGGGCGATATGAAACATAATTTACCTAATCAATGGTTCCTTCTATTTATAAAGGATTAATTAGGATTAAATAAACAATTATACTAAACTTCACAAAACCTTTTTAATGCCAATAATTTTCACAGCATTCTCTCCTACCACTCCCAAGATAGTTGTTATATTTAAGTATCTGTTGATTTACAAAATAGAAATATGAGCTTTGATAGGCCTGGGGTTCACAGATTGGGAACTGCTATGGACAAAATTATATACACTAGAAGGTAAATAATCTTTTCAATAGGAAGTCCATCTAACCCTGCAAAGTATAAGATACTAAGAATGCACAGGAACATGAGGATTTCAGAATTCCTGGTAGCTTTTCATAGAATTATAGAAATTTAAGGTGAAGCATGTCCTTTAATCTGACTTGATCCTTTCAACTCCATGAACTCTGAGAAAGAAGATACCTGCTAAGAAGGGCTCCTAGTGGCTACTTGGGCTCAAATTTTTAAAAAAGGAGCCTACCAGCCAATGCTGCACTGGGGCCTCTGATGCAAACTGCACTTTTAGGGAGAAGCCTGCACTGAGCTACCTGCCTCTGCACTGAGCCTGCCTGCACTGTTCCTGCCATCTGAGTCAGCCCTTATAAAGGTGTTCCTGGAATCCTATTTCAACCAATAGGACTGAGGCTTTCCCCATCCAATCAGAGCTGTGCAGCTCTGACCAACTAGAGTGGCTCTATTCTGACTAATCAGGACATTGCCTTTTAGACCAATCAAACTGTGAGGATTTGGAGTCCTCATTTGCATGAGGACAGGCCAATCAGGGACAGGGGCGGAGACTTCTGTCTACATAAGCCAGCTCCCCACTGGTTCTAGGAGCACACTTGATGGAAGACTCCCTGGTGGAGCTGAAATCTTGAAGATATCTCTTAGGAGCAGAGCCGAGTGGAACAGACCAGCAGAGCACACAGCAGACTGGCGCAGAGCAGAACATCGAGGAACAGAGCAGAGAAGAGCTGCCTGGCTGAAGAGGGGCCTGGTGACAAGGCTACCTGGCCCAGTGCTGCCTCACTGGCGCGTGTGTGCACAGCCGTGTTGTATCACAATCGAGCTGTTCCACAGCTGTGCTCTTTCCACAGCCACGCTGTATCACAGTTGAGCTGCTTTGCTCTGAATAAAGTTTCCTTCTTCACTACACCCCAAATTGAGGATTCCTGTTGGCATTGAATTGGTGCAAACTACCATTGGTTGAAAAACTATGTTAGTAGCTTTAAAAAGCTATCAAATCATAAAATCTACCTTGGCCCGGCCAGTTATAAAGTTGCTTCCTTCCTGCTCTCTGTCATCTTCTGCTGCTTTCTATATTACTGGGCTAAGAAAACAGGAGCTTCATTCTCAAATCAACATATTCCCATTTCTCTATTAAAATAACAGACATGGAAGTAGGGAACAGACTGACAAACCTCAGAGGGAAGGGGGTTAGGGGGGCAGAGATAAACCAAAGAACTGCTATGCATATATGCATAAGTGACAGACACGGGCAACAGCACAGTGAAGGCAGGGGATAGGGGCAGGAGAGAGGAGGGGTGTCAATGGGGGGGAAAAGGAGGGACACTTGTAATACTTCCAACAATAAAAATGAATTTAAAAAGAAGAAAAAAAATTTAAATAAAAGAATAAATTTCCATGGAAAGCAACCAATAAAAAAAGCAAAAAATAATTAGAAAAGACTTATTGCAAAAAAAAAAAGTCAATACAAGACTTTTACTAGCCAATCTTTAGGTCTTTTGGTTCCATGTTCATTTTCAAAATTGATTTAAACAATTCTTTAATGAAGAGTAACCATAAAAAATGGAAACAGTCATATTATATTTACAATCAATAATGGGACTCATGCCTGGCTGGTGTGGCTCAGGTGGTTGGGCACTGCCTCATACACTGAAAGGCTGCTGGTTTAATTCTCTGTTCAGGGCACATACCTAGGTTGCAGGCTTGATCCCCACTGTGGGGTGTACAGGAGGCAGCTGATTGATGTTTTGCTCTCACATCAATGTTTCTCTCCCTCTCCCTCTCCTCTCTCTCTCCCTCCCTCCCTCCCCCTTTTCCCTTCCTCTCTCCAAAGATCAGTTTTTAAAAAAAATCTTTAAAAGAAATAATAATGGGACTCACAAATTAGCAATTTTGTTAATGCTTTACTATTCTGAAATATATATTCATATAAAAACTGCTCTCATATTTATAATTAGATGCAAATATAATGACAAATCATCAAGTCTAAAGAGGCTGTTTATGCCACTCCTTAGGACAGAAAACTGGTCTGTGTACACAGTAGCCTAGCATCGTACCTGGTACAAAGGAGGTGCTGAGAAACGTTAAACTAAATTTTGTTGTCTTGGCTTGTCATTTTCACAGTGGCCCTGGGAAACCAACCATCAACCTCAGCAGAATACGGGCCTCGTGGGTAATAGTTCTGTTAACTCTGACGATGTTAATAGTTTTTAAAAAAAAACACATTATCTTGCCCTGGCCAGTTTGGCTCAGTGGTTAGAGCATTGGCCCACAGACCAGAGAGTCCTAGGTTCGGTTCCCACTAAGAGCACGTACCTCGGTTGCAGTTTGTCCCTGGCCCCAACAGGGCCGTGTGGGTGGCAGCCAGTCGATGTGTGTCTCTGACATTGATGTTTCTCTCTCTCTCTTCCCCCTCTCTCCCTCCCACTCTATCTGAAGATAAATGCAAAAATGTCCTTGGGTGAGGATTAAAAAAAAAATTAAAAATACATTATCCTGTAAGGAGTTCAAGTCCAACAAGAGATTAGCACAGAGTATGGTAAATGCCAACAGTAAAATTTTTTTTTTTAATCCTCACCCGAGGATACTTTTTGCATCTATCCTCAGAGTGGGAAGGAGAGAGGGGGGAAGAGAGAGAGAGAAACATCGATGTGAGAGAGACACATTGAGTGGCTGCCACCTGCACAACCCCAACCAGGGCCGGGGACAAACTGCAACTGAGGTACATGCCCTTAGCGGGAACCGAACCTGGGACTCTCTGGTCTACAGGCCGATGCTCTAACTGCTGAGCCAAATCCGGCCAGGGCGCCAACAGTAAAAATTTTAACCCCCTTTGAGGAAGAGTAAATTATTAATAATAAAAATATCTCTAATTTGAAATCTCTTTGTTTTTGGATTTACCTTAAAGCACCTTCGAACAGCACCTGGCCCTCCCTTGACGTACTCTGGGTGCACGTGCGTTAAGAACCCTGTAGAGACACCGTGAATGAAAAGCAGAGAACTGAGTACCTGGCTGGGCCGAGGTATGTGCTGCTGCTGGTTCTCACTGGGCTTCACTGGAATTGGTTTGATGAGATTGGGATTGTTGTAAATGGCAGACGAACTGGTTATCTGTTTTGGCTCAGAACAGGTTTTACACTGAAATGGAAAAAAGAACCCCATTTTTATTGTAAAAGAAGCTTTATTCTTTTAAAAAAGAACATACCTTTCTTCTTATTCTTTATTTTATCTAATTGGTAGCTATTTTAAAATAGAGTTTCATATACAAAGGAAAACCTCTTAATCTCCTCTGATTGAGCTATATTTGGGTATAAATACAATTTAAGTTTAATTTTTCTTAGTTGCACAATTCAGTGCTCTAAAATATTACCAACAGTATCAGCCAGCAAGACCTACAGGATCTGAGATACTCGGATACTTGAAAGGCTATCAACATGCTTAAGAAGTAATAGTTTAAGAATATAGAGTCTGCTGCTTTTCAATGATAAACAATGATAGAAACTATTCCTTAAATGCCATGTCTGGATTACACAGGGTTTTATTCGCCCATTAACAGTTGATTTAAAATTGGAGGCTGCATCATCAAAGTAACTAACCCTTTTTGGTCTACAAACCAAAAAGTAAAGCTGACTCAACCACTGATTTAAAAATTACTAACATCTTCTTTATTTAATAAGTGACTTTTCAGATAAACAGAATAATTCAAATCTGAGTGTTCTCAGCCACTCACTACAAATTAGAATTTCACAGAGAAAGAGACGAGACATGCCTCATCATTTCAAATACTGAATCATTATGGTACATCAATCTAACCAACCATGCAATTACTGACACAGTAGGATTCATAACAGAAAGAGCACAGCAGTGATGTCGGCGTCTAACTTGTTACAAATAAAACTGAGTATGAAAACGGTACCTTCTGGACTACAGGCTCACTGTAGCGTTACTAGTTTGCATTGTATGGTCAAGGCTGTAGGTCAGAAAATATTTCACACTGGAATGTGCTATAAACACAATCCTGTCCCTCAGAACCTCAAGGTTCCCAGTGTGTTTAACAGTCACTGGGCTGTATTTTCTAATCCAAGGATATAGAGGTACAAGGTCAATCACCACCGTGTTTGCTTAGGTTTGTCAAGTTAACTGTACGAAGGACTAATTATTTTCTCCCGAGAATTCTGTACAAAATCTGGATTTGGCACTGGTATTAAATGGGATGTGAATCACTTTATGAATCATCAAATATTATTTCTGCTGCTTCTTAGGTGAATGGTGTGGTTAGTGGTGTGGCTGCATGGACCAACCGGCGGCTTTTCAAGGCGTGGCTACGCAACACGAGGCCAAAGAACAGCCTGAGATACGGTCACAAAATTTTAGCATGAAGAGACTCTAGCTTCTGCTTGCTCTGAAAAGAAAAGTGGGTGCTTAGCTTACTTTCACTGAAAGACCCTTGTGGACTTCTTCCTTCTCTATGTTTTAGGGACCTTGAATTTCAAGCCAAGAGAAAACAGATTTTCCTACCTTCCCGGTGCACATACCCACGGGGGCCAAGGGCTGCTCGGTCTTGTGCTCGCATAACCCAGATGGGCTTTTCTGGGTAAAATTGCCAGGAGCTGTTTTCTGTCACTGTAGTTGTCTACCTTTGTGTGAAGCCTATTTGTACTTAAAAATCCCTCTCTATCAAATTGCTCCGAATTAAACATCATCCACCTCGATAGTTTGTAGCTTGTTTTCCAGCTGTTTGATTTTCTATGCTTCTCCCAACTCAAATAACATTAAAATGTTTAGAAAAGAACACAGTTTTGGGAGACGTGGATAACGGCTTCCACACGGAGAACCCGAGGCACCTCTCCAAAGCCGCAGAACTGTGCTACATAATTCTACTCTGTCACAGGGACCCCGAGCATACTGCCCATGCCAGGAGGAGAGTCTGCAAGGAAATACACCAGAAGTGTACTTGGGTTATAGGATTGTGGGTGGTTTTTCTTTTCTTTAAATTTTATTGATGAGAGAAAGAGAGAGATTTGTTGTTCCACTTACTTATTCATTCACTGGTTGATTCTTGTATATGCCCTGATCGGGGATTAACCCACAACCAGGGCATATCAGGACAACACTAACCCACTGAGCTAACCAGCCAGGGCTATTTTCTTTTTTATACATTTCTGAATTTTCTCTTTGAACATGAAAAGACAATTAATAATTTATTTAATTTCATAACTAGATCTCAGGTATATCCAGAAGAGAACTATTAATTCTTGCCTAAAACCACAAAATGCAAAATAGTCCGCTTCTGAGTAGTAAGAACAACTCTGCGGCCTGTGGATCACTTCTGGCCTGGTTCTTTTTCTTCCTAGCTTTGGTTATTTTATGGTTCATTTGCATTTCGACAAGAAGGAAGGAGGTAAAGGAGATGCCACTCAAATTAACATCATTGCTACTTTGCATCAAAGTCACAGAAAGTAATTTCTTAGGGGAAAAAGCATAAAATACTAACCCAAGTAAGCGTTTCAAATTATTTTATTAAATTCACATAAAAGGTTGTATCTAGTATCACTAAGCTTCACTTCACCAATATCATACAACTACATCTGTAGCATAAAATGTTTCCTCCTCTATCTTTTTGGAATTTTCATGAGTTTAAGAATTTTAGAGTTGGGAAGAATCTCAGAAGTCATTTACTTAGTTTAACACTTACACGGCGAAGTAACATTTGTTTATACTATCCCCAATATGCAATCATTCAGTCTCTTCCTAACTACTCCCAGTAATGGAAAATTCACTTCCTCATAACAAGAATTCTGAGGAAAATTCTGTTCGGTTTCTCTTTGCCCTCTTTCCATTTCCCCCTTTCCTGTATTTTGAAGCCACTTGGCTCACGATCACCACGTTTTCTGAAATGTCTGCTGGAGTGAGGGAGAGGAGGAAGCACACACAAGGCACACAAAAAGATGCGAGGGTGTTAACGGGGGGGGGTGTGAACATCTGGGTGGGTAGATCAGAGATAACAAGATGGACAAGGAACACATGAACTGGGCCTTGGAAGACTGATGATTTTTACAGGTGAAGAAGGTGAGGGGTTACCATGGGGAAGAGGCATGAAGGCACTTTTAGGAATCAAGACTGTTATTCTGTTTGGTAGGACATTCAAGTATTTGTAGGGGCAGTGGGAATAGCAGGTGCCGGGTTAGATGAACCATCTGAAGCCAGGTAATGAAAGGCTGGTAGAGCCTAAAGGTTCACACATACTAGGCATGAGGAAAGAAGAGGAATTTAGACCAGAGCAGCACTGTGACCATACAGGTTACATGACATCATCTGGCTGTTAATGGCAGAAAGAATGATTTCTGCTGTTATTTACCTCTCAGTTGGAGCAATTAACATTATGTCTATAACAGGTATCTGATTGAATACCTGCACTTCTGTTAACACTTAAGAAGGGAGCATAGTGATGAACAGAACATTGTTTCCACCTCAACAAGTTAACAGTGCAGGGGGAGAAGTTGACTTAACTGTAATAAATGAGAAAGAACAATATCGGTTCTAAATACTAATAGACTGGTGAGGTCAATGGAAAGAATAATTAATTTGAATGAAGTGATCTGGGATAATTCTATGTAAAAAAGTAGCATTTTAACTGGGCCTTGAAAAATATGTTGAGTCTGAAGGGCAATTAAAATGAGGGGAACATCATTCCCAGGTGTAGGTATAGTATGAAGTGAAGTCTCCAAGGCCATGAGTGTGTGTGTGAGTTCTGTGTTACTTCATGAGACAGGCAGGTGTGGTTACATGAGGAGGCACAGGAGAGGCTCAGGAAACAAAGTGTGTTATTCTCACAGGTCCTAGAAACGGGAGGCCCAGCCAGCATGCAGGCCACGTGGAGAAACCTCGCGGAGGTGAGGAGAGAGAGAGGGGAGCAAGGGGAACACCCAGACTAAAGCCTTTCCTGGAATTTCTGCACCCTAGGACTAGCTAGTTTGAATCTCTTCAGCAGGATAGAGATTGTAGGCGTGGTCCCCATCTGCCTGATCAGGACCTACTATGATTCAGGGTGAAGAATACTGCGTCCTGGTGCAGACAGGCCAGCCAATGGAGGGGTGGCTCTGCATGGTTAGAGTGCATAAGGAAGGCATGTTTTTGGCTGGGCCCTTTGCTCTCTCTAAGAACTGACAAGCCCAGGGAGGCACAGTCTGTCCCCAACCAGAAGATTTTTAAGGTGTCACAATAATTATAAAATATAAACAGTACTGTGTGTGTGTGTTTTGAGAGGAGAGAGGGAGAAAAAGAAAGTATTTGTTCAATATTTGCATTTATTAATTATTGGCCACATGGAACCAAAGTTACTAGAGGGTAAAATGTCACCTTTTAAGATTAGTGTGCCTAATATAGTATAATTAATAGAGTATAATTAATTATTTGACTAGTTGCCATGTCATTAGGATGCCTTTTAAAGACTTGAAGAATTAAACAAAATAAACAACTGATATAGAAATAGTTGTTACTGACTGAAGCTGGAATTAAAGCATCTCTGTCCAAGCCCTATGATAGAAGGATAGTGAAACTCTGGTTTATTCATATGGGTATTCTCCTTCCTTCCTTCCTTCCTTCCTTCCTTCCTTCCTTCCTTCCTTCCTTCCTTCCTTCCTTCCTCCCTCCCTCCCTCCCTCCCTCCCTCCCTCCCTCCCTCCCTCCCACAGCCATTTATTTGGCACTTGTCATGTGCCAGGAACTTTGAAGAAGACTAGGAATATAAAGATGAGTAAGGGATGTTCTTTGTACTCAAGGAGCTCACAGTCTAACAACTGAGAGTGAGTCAACAATCCAGTCAAAGGCGTGTTGAAGAAACTCAGTCAATTGTCCTTCAGTGTGTCCCACCTCCTTCAGGATTTTTCTGATTGCCTCCTTAGTGCATCGTTTGTTTTCCACCCGCCCCTTCCTCCCACCTCCCTTTCATCTTCTGTAAACTAGAAAGTCAGAGCTCTAGACGTAGATTCAGAATCAACTCTTTTGGCAAGAATATCTCATGGTGGTGCTATATCTTTCACATTATATCACATTAGGAGGCACATGCTGTCTGGTTATTCAGTTTTTACTGATACTGATCTATGGGTTCAGATGGTGGCAGCCTAACTCTTCCCTGGTCAAGCTTCTATCAATCCTTCTCATGATATAAACATTACTGACAATCATTGTCTGAATCAATTATTTTATCAGGGTGTTTTTAAGTCCTATCATTCTATCTACATTTAGAAAGGGAATTCTTTAATAAAGAACTTGGCCCTGGCCTGTTTGGCTCAGCAGTTGGAGCATTGGCCCGCAGACCAGAGTCCCGGGTTCGGTTCCTGCTAGGGGCACATACCAAAAAAAAAAGAACTTGCTCTGGCCATTTGGCTCAACGGTTAAGAGCGTCGACCCAAGGACCAATGAGTCCCAGGTTCGATTCTTGTCAAGGGCACGTACCTTGGTTGCAGTTCACCCTGACCCTGGTTGGGGTCCTGTGGGAGGCAACCAGTTGATGTGTCTCTCTATCATTGATGTTTCTCTCTCTATCCCTCTCTCCTCCTTCCCACTCTATCTGAACAAAAATGGAAAAATATCCTTAGGTGAGGATTAAAGAAAAAAAAAAAAAGAACTTTCCCTCATCAACCAGGACTATTTGGTTACTCTTAAATATGGTCCATACTGGCCAGGTAGAATAAATGCTTAATTCTTTTCCATTAACTACCAATTTTCAAAGGAAGGAGTTGGTATCCTAGTAGTACCTCCAAGGACAGCCAATAATTATATTTTGTTTTCTGTTATACTTTTGGTTGCTTGCTTTCTCTCATCACCATGAACTCACAGATTTTATATATTTAGTGGGTTTCAATCCATTGTTGTCATTCTTGTTAATGTTAGAATTTGTTACTTTGGTTAGTGGTCCCTTCAGGCTGACTGCTCTGTCCCTTTCACGTGACCCCATTTATTCAACTTTCATACTCCAGACCTAGAATCAGGAGTTTCTTTAAAGAGCCCTGATATTTTTTATAAGGAAATAGTATTTAGAAACAATAATCTAGAGGTGTTTCTTGCTACTGGGTTGTCCCTTATTTCTAGGTCTTTTCAGGGAAAAAGTTAAGAACTACATATTTAAGAAATAAAATGTCAACTAATTCTGACATTTTCATTTAAAATTTAACATTAACTTATTTTTTCTCTTACACTGAAGGTTTTGTTCTGACCACAAAGTTGACCCTTGAACAACATGAATTTGAACTGTGCGGATCTACTTATATGCAATTTTTTTCAATAAATACTGTAAATATATTTTCTCTTCCCTGTGATTTTCCTTTTTTTTCTTTTTATACCTATATTTATTTATTTATTTATTTATTTTTAATTTGTTTTCTTTATTGATTTTTAGAGAGAGAAGGGAGAGGGAGAGAGAGATTGAAACATCGATGAGAGAGAACACTGACTGGCCGCCTCCTACATGCCTTCCACTGGGGATCAGGCCCACGGCCTGGGCATGTGCCCTGACCAGGAATCAAACTGGTGACCTCTTGGTGCGTGGGTCAATGCTCAACCACTGAGCCACACTGGCTGGGCTTTATTGTTGAATGTATTACAGATGCCCCTCCTTTTTCCCCACCTTGACCCTCTCCTCCCTACTCCCACCCCCCTCCTGCTTTCCCCACACTGTGGTCTGTGTCTATTGGTTGTGCATACATGCATATGTGTGCTTTGGTTTCTCTCTTCCCTCCCGACCTCCCCACTTCCCTTTGAGGTTCCTCAGTCAAACAACCAATCTGTACTTCTTAATTCCTTCGTCTTTTCCACCCAACCCCCCTCCTATCTGGCAACCCACAAAAAGTTCTCTGTATCTATGAGTCTGTTTCTGTTCTGCTTGCTCATTTTGTTTGTATATTCGATTGTTGATAGATATGTATTTATTGCCAGTTTATTGTTCATATTTTTTTATCTTCTTCTTCAAGAAGACCCTTCAACATTTCATATAATACTGGTTTGGTGGTGATGAACTCCTTTAGTTTTTTCTAGTCTGGGAAACTCTTTATATGGCCGTCAATTCTAAATGATAGCTTTGCAGGATAGAGTAATCTTGGTTGTAGGTCCTTGCTTTTCATCACTCTGAATATTTCTTGTCACTCCCTCCTGGCCTGCAAAGTTTCTTTTGAGAAATCAGCTGAAAGCCTCATGGGACTCCCTTGTAGGTAACTAACTGCTTTTCTCTTGCTGCTTTTAAGATTCTCTCTTTGTCTTTAACCTTTTGCGTTTTGATGATGATAAGTCTTGGTGTGGACCTCTTTGGGTTCATCTTGTTTGGGACCCTCTGTGCTTCCTGGACTTGTATATCCGTCTCCTTCACCAAGTTAGGGAAGTTTTCTGTCATTATTTTTTCCTAGGTTTTCAATTTCTTGCCCTCTCTCTTCTCCTTCTGGCACTTCCATAATGCGAATGTTGGTATGTTTGAAGTTTTCCCAGAGGCTCCTTAAACTATCCTCATATCTTTGGATTCTTTTTTCTTTTTGCTGTTCTGATTGGGTATTTTTTGCTTCCTCATATTCCAAATCGATGGTTTGCTTCTTAGCTTTACCTACTCTACTATTGATTCCTAGTAAATTATTCTTTATTTCAGTTAGTGCATCCTTCATTTCTGACTGGTCCTTTATTATGTTCTTGAGGTCCTCATGAAGTTCCTTGAAACGCTCACTAACTTCATTGAGCATCCTTATAAGCAGTGTTTTGAACTCTGCATCTGTTAGGTTGCTTATTTCCATTTCATTTAGTTCTTTTCCTGGAGTTCTGTTTTGTTCTTTCATTTGGGACATATTTCTTTGTCTCCTCATTTTGGCTGCTTCCCTGTTTTTGTTTCTATGTATTAGGTAGAGGTACTGTGTCTCCTGGGCTTCCTAGAGTGGCCTGTTATTGTAGGTGTAGGGTCCAGTGGCACAGCCTCCCTGGTCACCCAGCTGGGCCCTCGAGGTGCACCCCTCGTGTGGACTTTATACCCTTGTGTTGTAAATGAGTCTTGATTGCTGTTGGCACATCAATGGGAGGGATTTACTCAGGCTGATCAGCTGCAAGGTCTGGCTATGCCCACTGACCTCTGACTACCTGGCATGATCAGCTGTGCAGGGGCCCACCACACAGAGTAAGACTTACTTCAGCAGGGTTCTGGTACCCACTGAGTCCACTCCTGTGTGTGCCACTTGTGGAAGTGGTTGGGTATGGTGCTTTGATGTGGTCTGAAGCTCTCTAGTGGGTGTGTTGGCTCTGGGGCAAGGTCAGCCACTGCCTGTGTTCTACCTGGGGCCACCAGGCATAAGCTACAAACTGATCTGCTGATGGCTGCTTCTTGTGCTGGGCTTGAAGGTGCACAGGCAAAGCCAAGTTGTGAACCAAGGCTGGCTGCTTCTAGTGCCAGGCCTGGGGCCACTTAGTGAGACATATGGGGCTTACTGCAGCCAGATGCTGCTTGTTTGAGAGAATTTAGGAAAATGTTGTGATTTTCTTAACATATTTTCTCCTATCCTTTCATTGTAAGAATACAGTATATAATACATATAATGTACAAAATATGTTTTAATCTACTGTTCATGTTATTGGTGAGGCTTCTGGTCAATGTTAGGCTATTAGTTAAGTTTTTGGGGGAGTCACAAGTTATATTAGGGGGGTCAGTAACCCTAACCCCTGCATCGTTAAAGGGTAAACTGTACTCATTTATTATAACCCATGGCACTGAAAAATTACAATGCTAATATTACTACTAACAAAACAACTGAATGAAGTTCATAATTTATTTGTAGTTCTTTTTGTCCTTAAAATATAATCCACTAAGGGTGTTTAGTTCAAATAAGGGATTCTGAAATAACTGTAATTTCTTTTCTAAGTAATTATGTTATAATACGAGATTCAGTTATATACATTTATTTTATCTAATTTTCAAATTCTAGGATTTTCTTTCCTTTTCCTTTATTTTATTTTTTGCCCATGTTTCTTGAGAGTGTTAATCTTTTCTTAATTTTTATAAAACAGTTTATAAAATAGGAAAATTAACCCTCATTCTGTTATTTAGTTGTAAACATTTCTTCTCAGTTTTTAGTATCTTTTCACTTTGTGGTTTTTTAAAACCATGTAACACATTATGTTATTTTATTTCATGTAGTTGAATTAACTGCGTTTGGGTTTGAGTCATAGTTAAGAAGACGGACTATCAGGTGGATGGAGCTCGCTGCCCCCTTCTCTCCCACCCGTATTGCTCTTCTTTGCCAGGGTTTTCCTCAGCTACTCTTCCTTGTATATTTTCCCACATGAACCTTATAATCAACTTTTCTGAATCCAGAAAAGAAGAAAAAAAAAATTTTGTTTTTGTTTAGGAATCATCCTAAATTTATAGATTAATTTATGGGGAAGTGAGAGCTTGAGGTTTATCTCCTTGTCTAAGATCAGGAAATGTATTTCCATTTGTTCAAGTCTATTTTTATGCCTTTCAGGAGTGTTTGAAAGTTTTCTTTAGCCCAGCCGGTGTGGCTCAGTGGTTGAGCATCGACCCATGCACCAAGAGGTTGCAGGTCTGATTCCCAATCAGGATACATGCCCAGGTTCTGGGCCCGATCCCCAGTGTGGGGCATCCAGAAGGTGGTTAATCAATGTTCTCTCTCACTGATGTTTCTCTCTCTCTCTCTCTCTCTCTCTCCCTCTCCCTTCCTCTCTCTAAAATCAATCAAGACAAAAAAAAATATTTTTTTTTAAAGTTTTCTTTGAATAGGTTTTGCTCATTTCTTGTAATTTTATTCCAAATAATTTCTATTAGTTTGTTGCTATTTTAAAGGGAGTCTTCCAGCAAACCTTCTGACTGGATACTATTTGTATATATGAAGGTTACTGATTTCTCGGGCTACCTTTTAATCCATTTAAAAGCAGTCTTCTTTAGCTTATTAAAAGCAAAGATTTTATTTTTCATATAATTTTTTGGTGGAAGGAATAGCAGTTAAGTCTTTCTCACTGTGGGAATTAAGTAGGTATACAAGGGAAGACAAAAACTCACCTTTGTATATTCATCTTTGGCCTTGGTGAGCATTCGTAAGATATCTCCTTCCTTCCCTTCCCCTGAACTGAGGATCACTGGGGAGATTCCTGCTCCAGCTCCCTGGTGGGCTTTCAACTGTTCATACTGAGTTAGGCTGGAAAAGCAGAGTGAAGATGCACACAAGGAGAACCAATCCATCACAGATGGCTTTTAAACCATCCAATTCTCACCAAGTTGTTTTTATCCTGTTATAATCCTATTAGAAATAAGGCTGCTTAAAATGTGAAAGAAGAATGAGGTTTGAGGTCCTGAGTACACTGACTAGATAGACGAATCTAGAGTAGGGCTGGGCAAACTCCAACCTACAGGCCAACCACGGGCCAAATCCAGTCCGCTGCCGGCTTTTGTAAAGAAAGTTACAAACACAGCCCCCATGGTTCACGGTGCTGTTCCACACCACCTGCAGAGCCGAGTAGTTGGGACAGAGGCAGTATGGCCTTGCAAAAAATATTGACTATCTGGTCTTTTTCAGAAAATCTGCCAGCTCCTCATTTACAGCATTTACGAGTCTCATGCTCTTCCGACTGAACTAGCCGGGCGCTTCATTACAGTGTTTAGAAGGATGCATTCATTAATTGCTGAGGAAACTCAATTTGAGAGTTCTCAAAGATGAGCAAACTGCATGGCAACTCAGATTCCTCCCCGTCCTCCAAAGTGCCTTGAAGTCAAAGCAAGGCTGATTCCAGCAGCTCAAAGGCTGCCGTTCTCTGGCAGCTGGGAAACAGTGGAGAGTCCACTGGAGAAGAGGGGCATTTAAAAAGCAGGGCAATGAGGCATGTCTTCTGTTTTCCTGAAAACAGTACAGAAGGGAGACCATATGCTCCTATAGGCTGCTAGGTGGCATTAATAAAAATACTTTCTCTCGATGTGTCCCTTCACGTCGATGTTTCTCACTCTCTCTCCCTTCCTCTCTCTCCCTCCCATTCTATCTGTACCAAAAATGGAAAAAATATCCTCGGGTGAGGATAAAAAAAAAAAATCTTCATTTAAAAGCCCTGGCCAGTTTGGCTCAGCGGTTAGAGCATCGGCCTGCGGTCCGGAGAGACCCGGGTTCGGTTCCCGCTAAGGGCACGTACTTCGGTTGCAGTTTGTCCCCGGCCCTGGTTGGTCGTGCGGGTGGCAGCCACTCGATGTGTCCCTTTCATGTCGATGTTTCTCTCTCTCCCTTCCTCTCTCTCCCTCCCACTCTATCTGTACAAAAAATGGAAAAATATCCTCGGGTGAGGATAAAAAAAAAAAAAAAAAAAAAAAAAAAAAAAAAAAAAAAAAAAAAAAAAAAAAAAAATACTTTCTCCTTTTGTGTGCTTTGACTTTCAGCTCAAATTCTTTTATAATTTCCACGAAGTTTCTGGTCAAAGAGATCTGAGAATTTATTGAGAGTTTAATTCTGAGGAAGGGCTGGAATCCATACAAATCAGCTGCTTACTGCTAGTCAACAATCAATTTCCTGCCCCAGCTGTTAAGTAATTACTGCAGAATGCTAGCAATTTTAACATGGCCTCTTGGCTGAGCTACAGGGTAATTTTTAATCTACACGAAATCCTGCTATTATTATCCATTGCACAGTTTACAATAACATGACTGTTCTAGGAACTAGTTGTTACAGTGGTCAATTCCGGCTTGAACACAGTCACCATCCGAAACCTGAGCTAGTTACCTAAAATTAGCTATCACAATCTAGATTTTCAGAAATCAATTATATTTATAAAAAGTGCTTCCCAAGTTTCAGTTTTTGGGTCACTTATTAGTCATTTCATTGCCCAAGATTTAAAACTGGGAATGGTTCTGTTGCTGACAGAGCTGCTTTGTCAAATCGTGTGGGCAGCAGCCCCACTGTGTGCTCAGCTGACTCCAGTCGGCACCTGAGATCAGCTCGGTTGCACACATTTCACTCTGGGCTCTGCACCATCGCCACGAACAGCGGGAGTAACAGCCTCACAGCCCAGCCCCGGGGCTCAGGCCTGATGAGAGGGTGGAGCGGTCACAGAGGGCCGTTTGCTGACCTGGGCCCTCCTTTCGGTGCAACCAGGGAAGAGAGTGGGGACGTCAGGCAGTAATGTAAGATTCTCAAAATGCAGAATGGGACAAACCACAAGGTAGCATGAGATTAGAAGGAAAAGAGACCAGGAGAGAGGGAGAGAGAGAGATAGAAAGAGAGAGGCTGTCTGCTGATCACTAAACGAGTATTAAAGCAGATATTTCCAGAGATGGAAAACGAGGACGATTCTAAGTATTCGCAGCGTTCGAGGTGTGAGGAAACCGAGCCTCTCCAGTAACGGGTGTGCAGCGAAAAGAAAGCATTTAGGGCAGGAAGGAAATGAAAGATCTGAGAGAATCTGAAGCAACCTTTCAGCGTGTCTCTGAATATACTTTCTACTAATAGACATACTAATAACTTTCAAAGAAAAAACTGCTAAATTACAAATTAGGAAGATATTAAGGAAAATTGCCATCTGGAACTCATATTATGGTATTTCACACATGTAGGAAAAATGAGGTGATCCATTCCACATGATAAATGTTACCTAGTGAAAATTTAAAAAGTTGTATTTGTGTCTATTTTTCCTTTATAAAGTAATAGTAAATGTTTTCCTAACCATTTGAAAGAATTGCTGGAAGAGATCTATTCTGCTAAGGTTATGGTGTAATTACACATACTTAGAAATGCACACAAAACACCACGCCCTGGAAAAATGGTACAAAGTCTTTCAGCACTTACTTTTTCATAAGTTCTGCAATTCTTTGGCATTCTTCCTTATCATAAAACCAAATTCCATAAATGGACACTGCAAAAAAGACATCAAACAACTTATGAGCATCTTCAAAACTACAAAATGGAAAGTCCCTTTCCATCTCGAAGGAAAATATATAATTATTGAATAAATGAAACCAATCATTGGGATAAAAGGCTTGAAAACCTAGCACTAGAATGTTTTAAGCCCACAGAGAAATCTGTAGTGGTCTTATGCACACATACACACACATCCAATAATGTCTGTTGAACTTAAAATCATAGCATCTGAACATAATAAGCATTTGGTAAATGCTTCTTAATGAATGACTAGAGATTAGAAATGAAATCAGAATTTCTAAACTCCTGGCTTTGAAATGCAATGTTTCCATATTCCATTTGCATATTTCACCTCTATTTTCAAGTATTCAGAAGCCTGAAAAACAAATTAAGCCTAGAAACTCCTCTCCCTTCTCCTTCTCCCAGGTAAACGTTAACTGAGAAGTTGGCTTTGTAAGATTAAGTTAGGACAGGGTACAGGAAAAATTAGCTTCAATAATAAATCTTTCACTTCAAAATGACTGTACAGAAATTTTACACTGTTAAAAGCTTGAAAGTGACTATGACTATCATTTAGTCATAGTCATTTAGTCATAGTGAAAAAGGTGGTATAATACAGCTGCTATTGACTTATTTAACACTTTTCAAATAAATTGTAGACTTTGGTATGGGCCTATCTACATCATTTTTTATAGTGAAGGCTAAACAGTTCCAAGCACATGTATAAATACCTAATTAAGGATCTAGTAGTATTAATCATGTAAATAATGCACTCACTACATATAAATTTTAAAATCTTCATTGAAAATAGCAGCAATGTTATAAGACAATGAAAAACAATTATATATATATATATATAGTTGTTGTTAATATTCACCTGAGGATATTTTTCCATTGATTTTTTAGATAGAGTGGAAGGGAGGGAAGGAGAGGAAAAAACTCAGCGATGTGAAAGAGACACACTGATTGGCTGCCTCCCCCACAACCCCGACAGGGCATGGGGATCAAACCTGCAACCCAGGTACATGCCCTTGGCTGGGAATCGAACCCTCAACCCTTCAGTCTGTGGGCCATTGCTCTAACCACTGAGCCAAACTGGCCAGGGTCAAAACATATTTTCAAAAGGAAGACCATTTATAATGTATACTTTCAAAACATAATTATATGAATATTATTTGATCATTAAAACAGCTGTGGTATTTTAACTATGACTTTTCCCCCCACTCAACTGACCACTGCCTCGGTGTGGAATTTCTGCTTCTTGTCAGTAATGATTCAGCTATCAATAGGTACAGGAAATGTCTTTTTAGTGCTATTTTAGGCAGATATTTTGAAAAGGCATCTTATAAATCTGAATTACTAACTTGCCAAAAGGAGTCAATGGGTTTTTAACTTCTTGTATGATTAGTGTATCAGGAATCTTGATCTTATCTACCTATACGTATGAGGGGGAAAGTGGAAGAAACTAGCTTTTTCTTTTACCTTCTTAGAAATACATACACATCTTTTCCCTTTAAGACTGTGACAATCTTTTGAAAAAGAACAGCTGAGTTCTGAAGCCGATGGGCTGTAACAGCGTGTATGTCAAAAAGAAATTCTTTCATCTCAAGATCATTACACATGCATCTCGAAACTTTTGTTCCAGGTTATTTCTAGTCCATCAGCATTAGTTGTTTGCCCTGACTGCCTACACAGATTCCTGGACACCAGCCCACCTAGTTTCATGTTCTTCTAAGTGTATGACACTCAACTACTTCATCAGTTTATGTGTTTTGGTGGCTTTAATCTTAGTCACAAAACTAGGAACCCGGTTTATATTTTGGTTATCCATTCCTTTCCTTGGAGACAGAGTCTTCCAAAACTATCAAAGGAGAAAAGTGGTAGCATGGGAGACAAACACAGAACAACTAAAAACATTCAAGGCCCAATAGCCGAGAAAATAACAGCCACTTCTGTCCCATCAGTAGAACATATTTGTAAAAATATTTTGAGTGTCATTTTTTTTTTTTTATGTCACACATTTGTGGCATTTGACACAAGGAACTAGATTTTCCTAAGGTTAGGATGCCAAGGAAACAGTTGATACAAATAGAAACACAATTTGACAACATCATTACTGCCCAATAACTGGAATGCAGATTTAGGGAGAAAACATACTACAAAAACAACGTTCAGGTGTCAAAGAATGAAGGAAGACTGGGTTTGTAAGTGACTGCATGAGACATTGTGGAGATTTCTTTAGGAAATGACCATTTCTTTCTAAAGCAACTTGACTTTAAGATTAAAATGGACCATTTTGGAATCGCTCTTTTCATTCCAGTTACTACTGAGTTTGAACATAAAATTTAAATAGCTAAGGGGTGGGGGTGGGGAACAGATGTACCAACAGCCCTGGCTACAGAAAGGTAGCACCAAGATAAAATGTAGAACTGGGCCCGTTTTTTCCTCCCTAAAATAGTTTTGCCAGCCGAGCTGCATTCCACGGGGAACGGGGCAGGGAACTGCATCAGAGTGCACATTCCAACCACAGTTTTCTGTCTCTTAGGCCCAAGGTCCTCCGACCCCTGGGCAAACCTCTCACTCTTCTACACAAGAGGGTGTATCAGAGCAGCTTGTGGTGACAAATAAAAACCAGAGATCATCATGCCTTAGGGAGGTGATGAGCTGACAGGCGGACAGAAACCATTAACCTCACATTTCAATCCCAGTTTTCCTGTCGAGCCAGTGGGGGAGAGGCCCATCCAGACTAGGCAGTGAGCACAGCAGGGAAGAAAGAAAAAGACGGGGTTGAAAAGAACCACAGAAGGAAGGTGGTTTTTAGGATTCTAAAACTTAAAGGAATTCCTGTCGCCTAATCTGCAGTGACATGCTTTGGCCGCGTGAACTTGTGCAGCACAGGAATGTGACCGTGAGAATGGTTTCCAGGACTTAAAAATTTACAAGGAGTAAAGCTCACGAGCAGGATATTTACTTATTTTAAAAAATCGGCCTATAGGACGCCTCTGGAAATCCACCATGCTTCGAGCCTTTGTCCAGCCCGCAACGCCTGCATACCAGCCGCTCCCCAGCCTCCCCGCTGCAGAGACAGAGGTGAAGTTTAAGGGCACTTTGGTGCACGAAGCTCAACTCAACTGTTTCTACACCCCTCCTGGAGGTAAGAAACCCAAAAGCGCAGTAAAGAATAGGAAGAACATGTTGAAATTTACTCTGAAATACTCTAATGACGCTAGAATGTGGGACACCCCGACCCGAGGCTCGTCTTTTCAGCAGTCCTCTTCAGATGTAATGCAGCGTTTTAACAGTGCCGTTGTGAGCCTGTGCCTGAGACTGCACTGTCCTGGTTTATGTCATGATTTGGAAATTCTCAGTGGGGAAAATGCAGGGCTCAGGCAGCAGGCAATGCAATCTTGCCTCTACATATCTCCTAAAACCCCCATCTTCTACTTGCCTTTTAATTCTGCAAGAAAGATTAAGGAAAGGAAAGTTTCCATATTAGATTTCATGTCTGATGAGAGACAGCAGGCTGATTATATCACATAATGATATTTTCTTCCTTTTTAATTTCTTCAGCAGAAAAACCTAAAGCTGATCAAATTTAAGCGGCTAGTTAAGAGGTCATCAGAGGCAATATCAAATACCCTTAAATGCGCACCCATTGGGAACCCTTTGATTCTTATTAGCACGGTGCATTAGTTCATTCTGGATGTTCTCTGGGGATTTACCTCATTTAGTTTATGTTCCTAATAAATATTTCTATACAATCTGTTTTTTTAAGGCATTTATCATTTGTTCCACATTTTACCCCAAATATCTTTCAACTCTTCAAATCATGAATGGTAGCTTACAATCTTTTCACCAGGACTCCTCTAAAGTGTGTGCAACTTTAAAGTCAGACACATTTGCATACAGTGAGCAAGCAGATGATACATAACCACACAGGTAACGCTTGAGCAGGCAGAGGGGGGGTATCTGACACGGTGACGCTCTTCTCTCTCAAGATGATAGGAAAGTGGATTTTCTTGGTTAGTATGTAGCAAGAAGGCATTTACATTCTCTTTTTACTAGGATAGCCGTGGAAATGTGACAGTATACATTACACAGATCTCTTCTGGGCACTTAAACTAAAATTTAAAAAATTCCTTCAAATCCCATTTCTTTCAGGAAGTCCTTCTCAAATGAGTGGAATAGTAATTCCAGTGTAAGGACCAAGAACATCTAACCATATATTTGGTGTAAACACTTTGTTGTACATAATAATTTATTGTACCGTTTATATAGTTCAGGTTTTTAAATTTTTATTTTTTGTGTTAATTCTCTCCTGAGGACACTTCTTCATTGATTTTTTTTTTAGATACAGCGGGAGGGAGGGAGGGAGAAAGAGGGAGAGACAGAGAGAGAGAGGCATCAATGTGAGAGAGACACATGGATTTATTGCCTCCCACATGACCCCAGGCAGGGTTGGGATCGAACCTGTGACCCTTCAGTCCACAGGCTGACGCTCTAACTGCTGAGCCAAACTGGCCAGGGCTATGGTTAGGTTTTTATAAGTTTGGCTACATTGAGGACAATCTGTCCTCAGATTACTGACATCTGAGAGTAAGCCCCCACACTGAACTATGACCCCTCTGAAAGATCACAAAATAGTGAACAAATTAGAAAGTTAGAACCATGAAATTTCAGAGTTGGAAGTGGGCTAAGAAGTGTGCATTTCAATAACCTATGTCACTAAGGAGAAATATGTGGTCTAATGACACTAAATGACTTAGCCAAAGCCATTTTTCGTGGTTCAGTGTTTTCTCTAGAATATGTACCTCCTCTATCCTTACAAATGAAATAAAAAAGTATTAAAACAGTTTTTATGTTTGGTTGATTTGTAGGCTTGGTTATATGAGTTTATGTGGACTCTCGAAAGGGAAAAAGGAAGGATGGAAGGAAGGGAGAGGGAGGAGTGAGTGTGGAGGACACGGAGTAACGGACCGAGAGTCCAGCACCGCC